AGAGACAGAGAGAGTAGCAGAAGCCCTCCTGGAGATATTTTGCAGTGTAGACTTTCCGAGGGAAATCCTGAGTGACAGAAGGGGCCAGTTTACTTCAGAACTGATGCAAGAAGTGTGCAGACTCATCAGTACTCAGCAACTCTATACCACCCCGTACAATCTTAAATGTAATGGACTTTGGGAGACAGTCAGTGGAGTTTTAAAGAGCATGCTAAAGAAGATGTGCCAAGAGAGACCACGTGACTGGGACAGGTACTTACAGGTAGTATTATTTGCTTATCGAGAAGTCCCACTAGCAAGTACAGGATTTTCACACTTCAAGTTAATGTATGGAAGAACAGTACCAGGTCCGATGCAAATATTGAAAGAACTATGGACAGGATAAGAAGAGTCAGAAGTAAGGAACACATACCTGTATAGGAAGTTGTGATATAATGGGAATTACTTAAACTTGATTAAATTTGGAGAAAATTTATCATATTAATTTTTAAGTTCCAGGATAATAAGACTTCATAGACTTTTTTGTTGGCTTTTAACATAAAGGATAACTTGCAGCCTGTTGAAATTAAAGACAGAAAAGATGGCAGTTAGGAGATCGGTAATCTACATGGATTACAATTAGGTGTTTCAGGGGTAGAAACCTTTACCTGACAGTTGCTATAGGCTACCTGATCAGACAGACAGAAATTGTTAATGAGATCAAGATCGTTACAAATAAAAATGACGATGCAGCAATTATGGAGTCTAATTTCAAACACACCGATTTGTATTGTATGGAGTCTAATAGTGAAGAAGAGATTTCTTGAAGTAATTCAGGATGGTTTTCTATAACAAGTGAGGATAGAAACAAACCAGAAAGGATACAATTTAGTTTATTTTGTTAATCAGTAATGAGGATATGGTTGCACAAATTGAAGCAGGGAATATTTGTGGAAGAGCAGTTGTTGCATAATTAGGTTTGATGTTGTGTTACATGTTGAGATTAAATTAATTGAATTTTAGTTCCTAATTTTAAAGAAGCCAATTTTGAGGCTATGAGACATTAGTGAATTGAGATATTAAATTGAAAGGTGATGTAAAACAGGTTTGTGAAAATGTTAAAAATAAATTCAACTGAAGGTAAGCACATTCCTAAAAAGTGAAAAAGGATAACAGGGATGATAAAATCCAACTGACTTATTAATGACATGAAGAAAATCTGGGATAAATGCCATAAGTTTAAGAAGTTTAAATTTACATATAAGTTGGAAGATTTGTGGTACTATTCAGAACAGCTAGTGTCAGAACTTTAAGTGTGTGTGTGTGTGTGTGTGTATTTATATATGAATGGGTATTACGGATTTTTCTACAGTAAGTTTTTGTGACTTTTTGGCAATAAATTTGAACACTACATTTGTTTTAAAATAATATAATCAAAACAAGATAAATGTATGTACAAAAATTCTTTATACTATGGAGACCACAGTTGTATCTTAAACACTATACAGTTCTCTTCTTCTTGTCAAAAGTCCACTTAGGCTAATTCAATTGATTTATAATCCAGTTGATAAGCCAAAATATTTTTTTTCTACTTTTATCACAATAGTATCGGTGAATAATTTACTTACTTTGCCTCTTGGGTTACTATAGTTGTATCCTGAACTTCCAATAATTGTCTTCTTTCCGTCAAAGTCCATACAGGCGGGTTCAGTTAGTTTAGAACACACTTTGACAAGACAAATTATTCTCCTTATCTCTATCAGACTGTTTAAATCTCACTTTAACATATCAACTGTTAAGGCTATTTACTCCCATGATGACTAACTTCACGTTTTCTAACCTTTCCCTGACTGAACGTTTCTTTCACTTGACTGTACTTTTTCTCCTCTCCCGCTCGTTTGGTTGCGCTATTTATGTTTATCAATGAGGCTTATAAAAATTTCTATAGCCTCAACATTAATGAATTATAAACACAACGTATGACTCTTAATGAGTTACCTAACCAAACTTGTCATAACTATCGTCTTTAAAATAATTGCTTTTATCTCTCTCGTTATGAAAAAACTAAACAATCATGAAGTATTTACTTACAAAATATATATAAGTTAACAATACCTACATTAAACAGTCTTGTATATCCAACAATAAGCTCTCTCCAAGAAAAATATTTAAAACATATTTTTTTTTTACACAATATACAAAGACTGTTCTTAGTTCATATACCAAGTCTTCTCATATAGTCTACACCAACATTTACAGTTCCTTTGTTGGTCTCTTCTCACGTAGGACCTCCAATAGGGCTTCACCTTGACAGGATCCCTTGTCTTCATCTTGATCTCAAGGTGTCTGGAGTCTGTATTTCCTAATCTGTCTGTATACTGACACAGTAGATTTTGTTCCTCTTTCTTTTTCATACCAGTAAGTTCTTCACTTATGTTGACATCATTGTATGGTCTTAGGTCTAGTAGGTCCTTATCTTCTATAATGAAGTAATTATCTTTAGATTCTGCTTCTATGACAGCCACACCTACCATGTCCATCTGTACCTCAATAACTGCACCCGTAAGGTCTTCTTCCCTCTCGAAGTACCTCATCAACAGATTGGCATAGAAGACTATGGTTGTTCCATCAACTTTCACTTTATAATGCATTCTGTTAACTACTTCCTGTACTTCAAAAGGTTATTTCTGCTGCCAGGTGAGTTTGTTGTTGGGTGTGTGTAGCAGAACTAAAACCTTCTGTCCGACCTTGAAATGTTGACCCTTGGCCTTCTTATTATAGAAGTGCATCTGAATATGTGTGATGGGCTTGGCCTCACCAGTAGAATTGCTTTGATAGGTCTGGTTCAATAGTCCTTTCCAGTCCTCTGTTTTATAAGTCTCTTTCCTCTTCGTCTTATGCTTGACTTCCTATTGGGCACTGTCCCGCAGTTTCTGTGATGGAGTGTCTTTTTTCTGCACTTCCTTCAAATTTTTACTACCTGGTGTATTTCCTATCACCATGTCGTATATTGGTTCCTTGATACACATGGCTTTAGGGTTCCCCACATGATATGGAGTATCCACCTTGATTTTTGCCATGGGGAAACTTTCTCACTGTCCCATCAATTAGCACACACAGACGTACCTTGCTTGTTATCTGATCATCAGATACTAAACTGCTGCACTACTGTACCCAGTGTCTCACAGAACCTTCACTTTCTTGTTCCTGACATAGCCTTCAGTTACTTGCATGTTGTGATATGTTATCACCTCTCGATGTTTGTCACATGCTCCAAGCACCACTGGCACTATTGATCTGTTTGCTAACTTGAGCTGACCATGAGCCATGCACTGATCAATCATGTAAATGTCACTTCCTTCTTGTAGTGAATCTGATGAGTTGTCTCGATTCTGTTTTTTCTGGCAGCAGCATCAATGGTGACAGTCACTCTTTTCTTGTTTCTTACCAACACTATCTTTGTAAATAGTTTCAGGTGCTTCATGTTGAGATTTCTGCTGTTGCTAGCTAATAATGGACTTGCACTCCTTTGCAATGTGTACCATTTTATAACAAACATAGCATCTTTTCTTCTTTCTGTCTATTAACCTCTTGTCACCTTTGGTAGACTCCTGCTCTTGGTCAGCCATCACTGGTTTTGAATTTAACTGGATATTGTTCGACTTGCCAGTTATACTCCCTCCATGGGGTTACATATACTGTTCTGCAGCTTGATCATCTCTTCTACGTACTTGTAGGCCTGTGAGAAGTGGGCTGAAACAGACTGCCCAGTCGCCTTTGTCCCAGTTGTGACTTTGGGTGAATATTTCATATCTCTCCAGGAAATAATCCATGTCAACTTTATGTTCATCACATTTGGTCAGCTTGAGTCAGCTGGCCCTGACTCCATTGTCATTCTTGGGTTATTATTCGTTCTGTTGGATGAGCTTGGCGATCTCAATTTGTATTCTCATTCTCTCTATTTCCAGCCTCACCTTTTCTTCTTTCAGTCTTTCTCTTTCCTATTTTTCTTTTAGTCTTTTTTTTTCTCTCTTCTCTCCCTAAGCTCTTCTCTTTCTTGTTGTTGTTGTTTAACAAACTCTCGTAGTTCAGTATCTTTTAACCCCAGAAGCTCTCCTCTTTCTATTAATTTATCAAAATTTGACATGGTTATATAGCGTGATTGTAATTTCCACACCATTTGCGCTAGTAATACAGTTGTGCATATATAGGCCTACTTGTTCTCGCTGTCGTTCACATGTTTTTTGTGTGGAATTTTTGTGTAACATAGTGTATGATTTGCCAGTGTACATTTGTGTGTATCATATTTATAGTCTTTCCCAGTAAACTTTTTGTATTTGTTCAGCACTCTAACACCCACTGTTTCATTAATACTAATAGTTGTTGATTACAATACTTGTCAATGGGAGCTTTGACTATAGTTGCATTATTTCTGTTAAGCCACATTAGATTGTTATTAGCACTTTTCTCTATCTATGGAATGTCAGTTGCGCACAAAGAACTGTTATTAAAAATATCAAGTCTAGTGTTTAGAAAACTAGGTGTAAAAGATTTAATTTGTTATTCATCTTCTTGTATGTAATTTACTGTCCAAGTATGTATATATTAACATGTTACTATATCACTTAAGCTAAAGAATAGTTATTTGGATATAAAAGTTCAGTGTAGCAACTACTCCTTTTTTCTTCATAGACAATATTGAAATTGTTTTTAGTATAAAAAATTTATAAAACAGAAGGTGACTTAAAGTATTTCATCATTTTTTTAGCCATAAGACCTTAAATTTTAATAAACACTCAAGGAAACTGTGAAGTGTGTAAATGTTATGTTGAGATATTAAACACTCTAGCCGCTCTTATAACTTACCAGTTTTCTCCTAGGAATAACAAACTTAAATCCTTCAAACAGAAGTTGTTTTTTCAAGTTGGCATTGTAAATCTTGCGGAATTAGTGGAACTTAGTACATCTGAACTCCCATGCTGGTATTTTTACTTCATCGTATGTACTTTCTTATTTTGCAGTCCATAAAACCCAGGAGTGGAGTGTTTTGTTTCCTGATTAATGAGGCTAGAGAAACTACAGCTCTAGAAATGCCAGATCATGAAAATACATTTGTCTTGAAGGTAATCCTTTAAAGTTTAAATCCTCGGACACTGTTTTTTTATACATTCAATGCTAAGAATGGAGGTTTTGTAGTATTTTCAGTTAGAATTTGCTTCCCCTGTGTACAAGATATTCTTTCTAGTATTTGTATTTTAGTTAGATGACCTATGTGTAACTTAACAATGGAATTCTTATTTAGTTTAAACAGAATATCTCGTTTTCTCGCTCTTTCTGTTTATCTAACATCATTTTGGAGTAAGATGGTATAAGGTGGATCTTTCAAAAGTAGTGACAGAAAGTTTAAAAATTAGTTAAAGAGTGTTTTTTTCATCAGGATGAAGAAGAGATTTACCTTTCTTTTTGTACTTATCTAAAGTTTAGTTTAGTGGATAGGACAGCCAAGGTGGACCAACAGGCCCCTTGTTGTCCATATATGTTAAGTCCGGGACATGACTCTTATTAGCTCTACAAGTAAGAACATTAATTAAGATAATAAGAGTCAATTTACAGGAACATTTCTTACCGTATTGTTAGAAATTAAATGTTAATAATACCATCTTATATCATAGGTTCTTTGAAATACATAGTGAGAAAATTAAATCACCACAATCAATTTCAAAAAGTTTTTCAGCTTTATAACAAAATATGACAAACTTATAAAGTCAATTATCTTGAAATTAAAGTTTTTCCATTACAATGAGTCAGTTTCTATGAGCAACAGAGCTAATTTTTATGAACTTATCCTTATTTGTATCAACATCTCGATCAGGAGACCGTTTAGCATACTTATTTTCTCACAAACCCTAACCAAAATGGGAAGTAAATTTATACCTGACTCGGAGTAAAGTTTTTGAAGTTTCTGGATGACTCTACCCTTGAATAATAATAATAACAACTCTTAGTAATTCTGTGTACTTTATAGATAAGTACTTAGATTTGACACTATCAACATACAGAATACTTAACGTTTTCACACTGCATGAACCCTAACACGTAGTAGTCCTGCCCGCATAATCCAGTGAAACTTCTAAGTAGATTGAATTCGTGAAGATTCTGTCATCTTTCCTTCTCTGTACTCATTAATGGCTAAAGGCTCAAACCTGATTAATATATAATTATATGTACCAACTGATATGGATCTGCTTCACTAACCCTACACACTTCCTGCTGTTTTGTATAACAGTTAATATTTTTGTTTTGTTCTTTTAATCCCCTTAAAAGCTATAGTGTAACCTTAATATTTTTGTATCACCTTTCTTAAATCTTATAGCTTCCTTGCATCTTGTACTTATTTTACTCTCAACTTCATATCTATCCTAAATACTTTCAGTATTTTATGTAGTACGCATTGCCTACAAACGTATCACCGATTATCTATACACATTTCTTTATTGGAAACTACAATATAGGATATTCTTTGCATTTATCACACACCATATATTCCACATCTCTTTACTTCTGTGCAACTCCTAATCACTCCCCCCCCCCCCAGTGGCACAGCGGTATGGCTGCGGACTTACAACGCTAAAAACCGGGTTTCGATACCCGTAGTGGGCAGAGCACTGTAGCTTTGTGCTTAATTATAAACAAACCTAATCACTTATATTAATCAAGTAAACAGACAAACAAACAAAAACTGGACAAAAAGAAATCTTACATAAGCCTAGCAATCTAATGTAGAAATAGTTAATGTAGTTTTTAATATAAATTTTGTTTCAAACAAATTTATATAGTCAGCTAAAATTAAATCCACGTATGTAAAGCTGAAAATAGTTCATTTTCATTTAATGCATCATGGAATATGTTTTGAAATGATCCTTTACAGCTTTAAAGGTTTTGGGGGGTTAGTGTCTATTAAATAGGTAAGCATAAAACCATGAAGAATGGGGATCATTGAAATGTTTTTAATTGTTTAATATAACTTCAGTAGTTATGCACTTGTGGTTTTAATCCCTGAAGATCTCAGTAGCAGGAAAAAATTAATAAAAAATAGCTTAGTAAAACACCAACACTTTATATTTATCTGTTATCAAGACAGAAAAGAAATACGGGATAACAGATTATGGTAAAACCACACAGAAACATTAAAGTTAAAAAGTAATAAATGCTAGTTGTGATGAAACATCTGGTTTCAAGAGTCAGTTTCCATTAAATATATTAGCATAACCATTTTTTTACATATAATACTGTATTGGCCAGATTATGGGCAACCCTTTCTGAAACAATAGGAAAGAAATATAATTGAGTGTTATTATGTTATTTTTTAAGTCCGCAAAATCAGTACTGTAATTGAACGACCTGCACATGTATTAGTTGCAAGAATGACCTTGAGCGAACATTTGCGCACATGCGGAGATGGATGCTATCTGGATATTTGGGAATGTGGCAGGCCGTGATTATAAGACGACTGTGAAATTTACAGCCTAATTATTAATCAAAAACATTGCCTTATAGCCGGGCCAATACGGTAATTGTAGCATTAAGTACAGATTTACAGTGTGAGGGATATTTTATAAAACTTTTAAATATTTCATTTGGGATGTTTCGTGAAAATTAAACATGAATTGTAATTTTGAAATGTAAAATAAAAGGGTTCATTGGTTAACTACCTGGATCAGATTGTACTGTGTTGCAACTTTGGAAATTGATACGATTTTTTTCAACTTTAACTGCTCTTTGTTTTGTCTTTTGCATAGACTAGCATCACACTGCCTTAAGCTTAGGAGTGTTAGTTTAAGATTTACAAAAATGTTTTTTGTTAAGGGAATATGGTATAAAGAAATCTAAATGAAAATGGACGGCATACTACTTTCTATTAAGTTGCATAACTTGTTTCAGTTTTTGAGAAACCTCCAGTGGTAGTTCAGTAGTTTAATAATTATTTGAAAACAAGTTTTCAAAAAAAGCTAGAACGAGGTATCTTTATCACATGATAAGGTGACATTTACTGTTTTATTTTTCAATTGGATCTTCACTTGTTCAGATTTCTGACTTCTAGGGGCTTTCTATTTCAAATTTAGGCTATACAATTCCAGGTCAAGAATTAATTGTAATTTCAGAGTAATATTTTACAATCTTATAACTTTTTACATTATTTAGGCTGAGAATCATATGGAGTATGTGATTGAGCCTCATGATGCTGAAGACATGAAATCCTGGCTAGCCAGCATTAAATACTGCATGCGCCATCTAGGGAATGCAAATGAAGAAGCAGTGTATGTATATGATACTTTAAACACATTAGTCTGCCTAATTAGAGAATATCTGTGATTAGCTTGTATAGAAATCAGAATGAAATAGTCATACCATACAACCACAAATATTAAAATGAAATTCAATTAGAAATAGCTCTAGTTAGTAAGCTTACATATTCCTAAAATATTGTAATTCGAAATCTTTGGTTGGTTTAAGAGGTTAATCAGTTGCAACAACTCATTCATGGGACATCACTTAGCATTATATTTGACTAGTTAAAAGTAAATCAATTACAATTCATTCTTGGGAGCTCATTTAGTATTATTTTTATTGGTTGAAGGGTTAGTCAGTTGCAACAATACTTGTAATAATTTGTATGGTTAATAAACTCATTAATCATTAAATTGACATATTACTGTATCCTTTACGTAGACTAGGCTAAAGTAGACTTAAGTAGTGTTAACCCCAGTATTTGTTGTAACATTTGTTTAATTGTATTTTAAAAAGGTATTATTTTAAAATATCAGTATATTTAATTTTTTGTCAGATATCATGATTTTGTATAAAACTATCAGGCTGTTTTTGTGAGTATGACTATTAATCAAACATTCCCTTTTATAAATTGCATGTTTTTTATAATTGTTTATGAAACAAACAAGCAGGTTTGATGTACTGACTGTCTTTGCAGCTGTGTGTTTTTGTTACATTAATCTTAAATATAAAAGAAAAATGTATTCTAGAATAATGCAGTCTTTTCCCCCCCTTCTTAGTAGACCAAGATTATCAAGTGCACAATCAAACAGCTTAACCAGGTTAAGGGACAGACACAACATACCAATTACCAACAAAAGTAAGGGTTTTAGTAATCAATAAAGTTAAACTTCTTTCATCAGGGTATGATGTTATAGTTTTTGACAAATTTTGTATGAGTCTTTAAAAACTGTAACATGAATGCTAATCAAATAAAGACAAATATTGAAGTTACCAGTAAAATTTTTACAATATCATATGTTACCTGGTGTTTGAAATATGTTAGAAACAAGTTTCAACTATTATAATAAGTAGTGACCTATTGAAAAACTACTAAAATTACATAATCTTGTAATATGTTATTAGTTCTGCTATTATAATGAAATAAACATATCTTATTATTTTGATTTTAGAATTGTCAATATTTTATGTCTTATTTTTGTCAGTTATGTTAATTTTAAAGTGATAATCTGTACAAAATTCAATAACAATGTCAGACTTTCCAAAATTCCATATTCTAGCAATGTGAAGGACCATTGGATGATAATTTTCGTCTATGATAAAAGATGATATCTGTGCATAAGTTAACAAAATTAAAAAGCACCACAATGTTATAAAATGCACAACAACATATTAAAAAGGTACCAGACCCATTGAACAACTGGAGTAGAATACCCCTGAAACATCTAGAGTTGTTTAATGAGTTTGGTGCATTTTTAATAGATTATTCACACTTTTTGTTATTGTTGTGTTTTTTAATTTAAATACTTTCCTCTTTTTCTTTGGCAATTTATCATTATGTGTGAAGTCATAGTTTGTATTCTCTAATTGTTTATTTTTTGGTCATCATTCTTTTCTAATACTACATGTACTGAAACTTTAAAACATAAGCTGATGTTTATTTTTCTCATCCATCTGATGTTTTCATATGCTTTCTGGTGTGTGTGTACTATCTGTTTGTCAGTCCTTTACTTGTACTTGGTCTTAATCAGTATTAAAATCAATACTTGTTTAATAGATGCCATTGCTTTTTCACTTAGGCTCGATTTGATATTTTGTCTTTGTTTTATATTAATCTATAAATGTATAATAAAAGGATAAAATCTACTCAGTTGTAATGTGTTAAATTACCTTTCCATATCTTATCTCTCAGATGCTAATTTATCACTTCTTTTTTTTTCTTATTCTTTATTGAATTTATTTAATAATTTTTAATATAAAAGAATGCACTTTTTTGTGAATGATATGGTATATTACTTTTCCATTTAAGTTGTATGTGGTCCATATTTATCATTAACCCTCAAACTACTGACTTGTTTACATACCATTAACTACCAGTTGAGTCCACATATTGTATCATGTTGAGCAGTTTAATTGTTTTTGTCTGTTACAAAAGGTATTGGAAAGAACTGCCTAAAAAATTGATGAAGTTGCTTGTTTCCTATGTAAAATATTTAGGAAACCACAGCAGTAATTAGAGATTAAATACATTATCAATGGTAGTTTTGTTTAGATGTTTTTTGTGACTAGTGTGTAATTAGGAATCATGTAACAAAGAAAACCATGGATCTACAAGCCATGTGTATAAATATTTTGCAAATATGTGCTAAAAAGTTGATGGGGGTCCATGTGGACCCTATTGGTAAAGTTAAGATCAAAACTGAATTGTGTATTTACAAAACAGTAGTTTTTAAATCAAGAACATTATTCGTGAAACAATAAAATGAGAAAGTTATTAGAAAATTGTATATGCATATTAGACTAAAACAGACACATGCATGCATGGCCAAAAAAGGAGTTTATAATTAAAGCTCAGTGTAGTTGGTAAAAAGCTTTAGAATATTTGGGGCACGATACTTCAGAAAATGTTCCTTTTCAGTTAGGGCTAAATGCTTGATTATTCAAAATTAAACATCTTTGCTTGTTTGTACCACAACTTGAAGAATTATGATATCATTTGTAAGAGGGAAAAATATCAAAACGCAGTGAATGTTTCACCATGCAACATTACCTTATTATTAGATCTCTGCATCAAGATTTGAAGGAGGTCAACCGTTTTTAAACATTATGTAAAATGTTAATTGATATAAAAATAATTTAGGTAAAAAATGACTTATATAATAAGAAAAAGTCAAGTTACCATTTTTACCACTACAACTGTTTTTATGATACACCAGAAAATGAGGAAGCAACACCAGAAATTAGTCCTGAACCTCCTCCAGACCTTCCTCCTCGGGGAGTAGGTGCTGTCGGAGTTACATCTACAACAGGAGGAAGCAATGGGAATGAGCTTGGAACATTGCCTCAACAAGAACAAAATACAGGTGATAGAAAACACACCAAGGATACAAACTATTTTAATATATATTAATTAAGCAATGATTTTTTTTTATTAGTATAATTTCTTTAAACATTGTGAACTTAAAAAATGTCAAAATTACTGAGGTGATAATATACTAGGTTACTGTAGTGTAGTGTAAATAATGTTTATTAGCAAACAAAATTAGTAAATAACATCAAGTTGTGACAAAATTATACAATTAAATGATTAAAGTTTTGAACTAAATAACTTCCAGATACAGTAGTTAAGCTATTAGAAAATCAAATTAGTGGGTGTCTTAGTAAATTTAACAGATTGAAACAGTTAACAGACACATAAATATAACATGTGGGTCTTGTTCTTTTTGTACTCTTCATCTATCTCTTCCTGATCTATTGAAATGTTAGTACTCTACAAGCTTGTTAATTTTCACTACCATGGGCACATATATGTATGTCCTCCTCTAGACAACTGCTCTTACAGTTTGAAATTTTGTTACCATCATGAAAAACGGATATTTCCCTAAAAACTTCCCAGATTTTACCAGTTTCAGTTAAAATATGCATTTTGTTTTTTTATTATACATCTAAATATAAAGCTTATAGAGAGAGAGTTGTTTATATGTAAATGTGGCAGTGGAAGAGATAAAAGCTGTCACATTAGACTGTGTACAGATATTGTTCAAGTTATTAATTTGTCTATATACAGTAGTTATTTGGACATATTTATATAAATGATATAAAACATTTCATTAACCATCTGTAGTACAAGAGACAAATAAAGCAAACACTGACTGGGGGGTAGAAGAATTAAATTGTCTTAACATCCCACCTCTGTGGTATTTTCCTACATTGAATCCTTCTGTTTTACAGCAGGTGAGCAAGGACCTGATATTTATCAGACGCTGAAGGAATATCCGTGGTTTCATGGGATGTTATCCAGAAGTGATGCAGCTCAACTGGTGTTACGGGAAGACCTTGAGGGTCACGGTGTATTTCTAGTTCGACAAAGTGAGACAAGGAAGGGAGAATATGTTCTTACTTTTAATTTCCAGGGAAGAGCAAAGGTGAACACTTTTAATGTAACTATCTTCTAACCTAATATAACATAAGGTTTAGGGACAACAATGGACTTATTGGCTGTCCCATCTTCTACACTAAATTAGAAACAATAAAAAAACATCTTAAATCCAGCCCTTATCATTCATATTGTTATCAAGCTTTCTCTTAAACTCACTTAAATTTACTGCCTCCACAAAATCTAAAGGCATCCCATTCAAGAGGCCAACCACCCTGTTAGAAAAATAAAACTGTCTTAGCTGAAGATGACTCCTATCTTGCCAAAATTTATATTTGTGTCCCTAAGACCTACTATTCTTACTGTTAAATATGAAAAAAGATAATGCATCAACACTATCAATTCCCTTTACAATCTTAGACACCTCAACCAGATCCCCTCTAACTCTTCGAATTTCAAAAGAAAACAATTTCAAAGATCTTAATCTCTCCTGATATGACAACTCCTCCATCCCAGGCATCATTCTAGTAGCCCTCCTCTGAACCCTTTCCAACAATTCAGTGTCCTTCCTAAGGTAAGGAACCCAAGACTGAACACAATATTCCAAGTGTGGCCTAACCAGTGACCTATACAATGAAATGATAACCTCTTTAGACATGTATTCAATATTTCTGTAGATACAACCTAAATATTTGCCCTACCACTAGCAACAGCACACAGCTTGGATGACTTAAGATCACCCATTATACCAAGATCCCTTTTTCTCATGACACTGTTGAGGTTATTCCCATCCAAATTATACTTATAATTCAAATTATGATAACCCACATTCATTGTGTTGCATTTATTATAATTAAAACCCATCTGCCATTTATTTGCCCAACTCACTAAATGATGTAAATCCTTTTGTAAAGCAGCAGCATCCTCTTCATAGCTAGCAACACTGAAGCCCTTAATATCATCTGCAAATTTAATTAATTTATTGATCATTCCTTCATCTATATCATTGACGTAAATAAAAAAAACAAAACAAGATCCTAAGACTGAGCTCTGAGATACCCACTTGTGATATTAATCCAGTTTGACTGAACTTCATTTATAACATCCTTCTGCTTTCTTCCATCCAGCCACTCTTCTATTCAATTATCTAACTTATCCCCCACAACTACAGAGATGCTCCCAGTGGTCTGTGGACTTACAATGTTAGAAACTGGGTTTTGATACCCATGGTGGGCAGAGCACAGATAGTTCATTGTATAGCTTTGTGCTTAACTACAAACAAGCAAATAAACCTATAGAGATAATTTTTTAGAAGCCTATTGGTCAATCTAGGTTATCCCATCAAAAACACAACTCAAAGCCAGCCCTTGTCATTCAAATGTTTAATGCATTGACTACACCCAAGGGCAACCCATCTCAGTCTAAAAGCCAAACACCCTGTTAGAAAAATAAAGTTGTCTTAGCTGAAGATGACTCCTATCCTGCCAAAATTTATATTTATGTCCCATAGTTCTACCATTCCCATCATTAAGTATGAAAAAAGATGATGCATCAACATTATCAATTCTCTTAACAGTTTTAACTACCTTAGTCAGATCCACTCCAGCTTTTCTTAACCTGTCCTCATATTATAACCTTTCAATCCTAGGTATCATCCTAGTAGCCTTCCTCTGAATCTTATTCATCGATTTAATGTCCATTCTAAAGTAAGGAACCCAAGAATAAACACAATACTTCAAGCCTAATCAGTGACCTGTACAAAGAAATCATAACTTCTTTAGACTTATATTCAGTATGTCTGTACATACAACCTAAAATTCTATTTGCCTTGCCACTAGCAACATAACATTGCTTGGATGGTTTAAGAGATTGATGAACCAGAATGCAAAAAAACCTTTTTTTCCACAATGCTGTTAAGGTTATTCCTATCAAAATTGTACTTCCAATTCAAATTATGATATTCCCGCATGCATTACCTTACATTTATTATAATCAGAAACCATCTGCCATATATTCACCCAAATCATCAAATAATCTGAATCATTTTGTACAGCAGCAGTGTTCTCCTCACAGCCAGCAACACCCAAGATCTCGGTATCCTCAGCAAATTTAAGTAAATTATTGACCATTCTTTCATGGCTATGTCATTCATGTAAATCATTTTAAGCTTCCCAATTTTTTTTTAACAAGCTCAAAATTCATGCAATCATCTTCTTTGACCTTGTTCCATCTATCAACTGTTCAAGATGAGAATACTGCTTAAATATTCATTGGTAAAAACTGAATTTAATAACTCGGCCATCTCTTAATCATCAGATACAAGGCTTCCTTTATTATCCCTCAAGGGTCCAATCCCCACCCTAGCATTCTGTGTACTCTTAATGTACTTAAAGAAAGCCTTACTGTTAATTTTGCATTTTCAATCAACCTTTTTTTCATACATCCTTTTTGATGTCATAGTTTCCTGTTTCACCAACATTCTTATTCTTCTGTAATATTTTAAATCTCCCATCATACCAGTAAATTTAAATTTCTTAAGTTTGTGATGCTTTACTTTAATTTTATTTTTTATGATAATTTATACACCTAAGCATATTTTTGTTTGCATTTTCCAATTTTTGTTTACCCATTTTTAACCTCTTAATGCAGAATAGCATCTACACTTTAACATTTAGATTAAATAATTACTTTCGTACTTTGATTTTAAAAATTTAAGAGTTATAAACAAGAGTGGTAATTTAGATTTTTGCATCTCCAGAATTTGAACCTGGGACCACTTGTATATAAACAAGTACTCTACTAACTGAGCTTAAGGATTAACCCATTAGCAATTACTAGCAAAGCATTTTTAAACAACCGAAGCTATCACTCGTAGCAGAGAGAGATAAATGCAAAAAAAAAGAAAGATGGAACATTTTAAAAATACTATTATGGTTTTTTTAGATAACCACCAAGTTTTGACAATAACTACCACATTTTATTCCACACTTGTCGCTAAGTTATGCCAGGGCAAACGAAAAAAGACAAAACTGGTGAATACAAGACAATTCAAAACCTCATATGTATAATTTACACTCTACCACTATATACAGCTTAGGGTTACTGATAAGAGGTGGAATTCCCCAAAACTGGTATATACTCAGAGATGAGGGGGAATTGAACAATAGACTGGGCTTCATATTTATGTTTTAGTATTTTAAACAGTTTGTCTGCTGAATAATTCAGAAGAAAAAATTACTGGTATCTATGCTACATATTCTTCCAATTCTATATAAATACAGGTTACTGTGGTGAGTAAAAAACAAATCAAAACACTATACATATAATATACACTTCACTACTGTATAAAGCCTAGTCTTATTCTTTCAATTTGCCTTTGTCCATGGATGCTGATGATGGATGGAATTCTCTGAAACTGGTATACCTCAATGATCAATATGGAGTCATATTCATTTTTAAAAAATAATAATTTTATATGATTGGCTTTGCATTTCATGAGATTTTAGGTAGAATTAATTTCCTTATTTATGGTATGTTAATGAACTCATGTGATAAGCTCATCAAGTGAGTTTAACTATTATTTTTTTGGCCATGTGTTTATTCTTTTTGTTTTAGTCTGCCAGGCAGAAACATTTTTCTAAAACTTTTATTTCATTTGCCATTTTAAGCAAAAGCAAATACTGCAGAGTTTTTTATTGTTTCATAAATGACACTGATGATTAAGATTGTTTTCAGTTCAAAAATGAATAATAAAAAAAGTTTTGTCACTATCAAAATAAAGTAAAAGATGAAGGCATCAGTTAGGTACAAAAAAGACCAATTTTAGATGCAACTGAGCAACAGTTATTATTTTTACAGCAAAATAAAATAATAGAAAACTAGTTATCCACAAGCATTAGCAATAGAAAGCTAATTTTTTTTTAGTTGAGTCATTGAATAACTACTACAGGGGCAACAGAAAAGGATTGAAAATTAGTCTTCTTAGCTAAAGGCTTTAAATAAATTTCTCTGAAAATAGGTGTTTTCATACATTTTGTTATAAAATTTCCTTTATATGTTTTAAGTTTTCCATGTTCATTTCGTATTGTAAACTTTCTTTCATTATGAAAGATACTTACTTTAAAATTAGCTTTTAGTGTTGAATATGTTGAAGGTTTATTTTATTTTTTACTTAAGAGAATGTGTGTGATTTAATTTTTTTAGCATCTCAGAATGACCATTAACACTGAGGGTCAGTGTAGAGTCCAACATTTGTGGTTTCAGACAATCTTTGACATGTTGGAGCATTTCCGCATACATCCTATTCCTCTAGAATCTGGTGGAGCATCTGATGTAACCCTGACAGAGTATGCGATAAACTCGGTTAGTACAAGGCACTCCACTGGAGTTGTGCATCTTGTACAGGGCTCCCCGCCCCGAACTGGAATTCCAGGACATAGCCGGGTCCCCAGTATTCCTGAAGTTCACAATGTCATTACATATGGTGGATCTGTGCGAGTTAGGACACAGTCTTTAGAAATTTTAAATGTTAATCCCCAGTCACAAGCAACAATTCCAGGACGAGCCATAGAGAACACATATTCTTTTGTGTAATTATTGTGTTGTGTCTTTCCTCTGTTCACATATTAAGCTCAAAATGAAGTAGAGGTTAAGATTAGACTGCTTTCTTCATTGTGAATGAACTACAAAATGAAGAGATAAGAGATCTGATTTGACTCTGTATCTTTTTAAATGAACTTTAACGCATTACCAATGCTTTTTGTTTTTTCTTCATTGTACCTAAGATTGGGCTGCTAAATTTAAATGTTAGTTTCATAGAATATTTTTTGATATGTTTTAGCTCAATTTATTTCCCAAGAAAAAAATAAGCTTGCAGGTTAAGGAGAAGAAAGTAATTCAAATTTTGTTGATACATATCAAACTGGGTAACACTAGAACCTGTAAAATCCATAACTGGTTTTTATTCTCAGGTATTTTCAAGGTGGCAGTTCCAAGTGCATTATTACAACCATTTAGTATCGAATAAGTTATATTAAATATACTTCCTAAAACTTCTTGCCATACATTTTTATTTTAGTGGATAGTCACCCAGTGGTGGATATCGCATACATTTTTCCACACTAAGTACACGTAAACTTAAAATATAAAAAAAAGTTTTCATTGTAAAGGTAGGTTCCAAAATGCATGTAATTTTATTTTGTTGCTATTTTCCCTAACTGTAACCTTTTTAACAGTGTTTTACTCTTTAAAGTAAAACTACAACTTTTTGACTTCATTGAGATAGTAAACTGTAAAAATTAGGGCTAGTAGCTTTGTGAACTAGTATGTTATCAATAAAACATACACACAGTTCTATAAGTTTAATTGTTCAAAACTTTTATCAGACTATTTTTAAGTTATTTAACTCAAACTATCGAAATGAGCACACAGTCCAGAAGATGTTGATTTGTGATGAAGAGTAACATAATTATATTGTAGCCCATATTCCAAGTTTTGTAAGTATGGCAGTGTCAAATTATGTTGATATTATACCATAACTTTATTCAAATGCATACTGTTGAAATACATAATTACAAAATTTTCTCTCTTAGGCATAGTTTCTTTGTTTGTAGTTAAGCACAAAGCTACACAATGGGCTATCTGTGCTCTGCCCACCACCTGTATCAAAACCCGGTTTCTAGCGTTACAAGTCTGCAGACATACTGCTGTGCCACTGGGGGGTCTTATTCATAGTATACCCACAAATTAAAGTTTGGTATATTTTTAAATGTATCTCTAGAATTCAAAGTCTTGTTACATTTAGAAATACAGTTTCCAAAGGTAAACATTCATTCATTTATCTTATGCAAGTTTACATGCCCTTCCTGTATAATTAAAGGAATATGTGAAATCTACCACTAGGTGACTATATAGCAAACTTAGTTTACCCATCTTCTTAAATAGTGAGCTTGTTCTATATTTATCTTTAATTGTTCTGACTTACTTGTTTATTGTTTCTTGAAATGAAAGATATACACTCTTTGAAGTAGCTGGTGTTATGGTGCATGCGTGTGTGTGTGTATATATTGTTGAGCTTTATGATGTTACTGCTCTCAGGCTCTTAGCTTTGTGGTTAATACAAAACTAATGGCTTTCATGTATATAAATGATGACTGAAAATGAAGTTGACTAAAACATAAGAGTACCAAGATAACAGATTTAAGACAGCAAGATCAGTTATGTGATCTTCTTGTTACGATACATTAAAAAAAAAGCTTATTAATATTGCTAAAATAAACATCAACAAGTTTCAGATCACAAGGTTGTGTTTCGTTTCACAGCCATTACCATCTTTCATATTTTAGCCAAAACAAAATACACATAATTAACTAAGTACCACTCATTCAACAAAATGTATGTATGATATTCTTGTAAAATCTTCAATAACTGAATTACAATAGTGTCTATTCATTAACTTCAAAACCTGTTCATCATGAATAAACTTGTGATCTTCCATTAACACTTTTGATAACTGAAATTAGTTGATGCCAAACTGTTAGGTGCTGTGAGTACTGGTAAATTGGTGCAATTTTTTCTTAATAAGATAAAACTCAGTGGCATCTTATGAAATGATATCATTTATGGAGAAACAGTTTGGGATAAACTGTGGTAACATTGTTATTGTAATTATTTATTTTGTTTTTTGTATGTTTTATAGATCTACTTCTATTTTCGGTAATTATTTTGTTTTTTGTATGTTTTATAGATGAAGTAGTTACATCTATAAAACATACAAAAACAAAATAGAAGTAGTTACATCTATAATACATACAAAAACCAAATAACGAAAATAGAGGTAGTTAGATCTATAACACATACAAAAAACAAAATAACGAAAATAGAAGTAGTTACATCTATAACACATACAAAAAACATAATAACGAAAATAGAAGTAGTTACGTCTATAAAACATACAAAAACAAAATAACGAAAATAGAAGTAGTTACATCTATAAAACATACAAAAACAAAATAGAGGTAGTTACATCTATAACACATACAAAAACAAAATAGAGGTAGTTACATCTATAACACATACAAAAACAAAATAGAGGTAGTTAGATCTATAACACATACAAAAACAAATAACGAAAATAGAAGTAGTTACATCTATAAAACATACAAAAACAAAATAGAAGTAGTTACATCTATAAAACATACAAAAAACATAATAACCATTTTGGCCTGAGATAAACTGCAGCCACTATCTTAGTCTGTCTAGTAGTTGATGAAAGTGTAACAATTTAAAATAGAGATAAATTGATGCCACTGTACCTATTAATTGATGTAAGATATGAATGAAATTATTGTAATGTTTTACCTCAGAGATAAACTTGTACCAATATTCATTAATGAGTACATAATAGATAAGGATAAAACTGACAGCATGCAATCTAACAAATGAACTGAAGCCACTCTACTTATTGATTTGTACCAAATATAGTTGTAACAATTCTATAACTGATAATAATTAGTGTAATTCCATGAGTTAAATAAACTTTTCCCAACCTGTTCGTTGAGACCACGTAAATTAATTAGTTTGTTTAATGAATTTTTCATATTATTTTAGTATCTTGTATTATACGGTTGTGAGTTATGAAGAGAGCCAAGAAAGAGTTGTGATAAGCTAAAGTTTCGAAAGACCTTGACTTATATTATAACACATTGATCAAACTGTAAGAACATTTTTCCCACAAAGAGAAACTTAAGGCACATTTCCATCTTTAGTATTATTAAAGACCAATCCGAGGCTTGGTCTATCACACACTGATTGTGGGTTAGTGTTTTTGTCACTAAAGAAAATAAATTTTTATAAGAGCCCTGATTTTTAAAAATGTTCAAACCTTAGTAATATCTAACTTACATAGTTTATTATTTATGATTTCACCTTTATGTGTACCATGCTACAAAGATCACTTCTGAACTCTTCAGACATTTGATATCTAATGTTGAACTTCTTTGCACAAAGAAGTAGCATTGTCTTTACTGTAAGATTTATTTTATGCTAACATACTAATATCTCTCATGGAATTTTTAGTCATTATTATGATTATTCAAAAGCATATATGGACATTTTATACACTCAGCTTGCCCATTTTAATAATATTTAGTAGTATTTGTTTTCTTTAGTTTTTTAAATGATGCAGTTAGAAATATATACATATTTATTACTTAGGCCATCTGCTAACAGACGTCTTAATTTTTGGTGATCTTGTTTCGTAAAAGCAATAACTGTTTCATAAATGTTACTCTGGAAAAACTTGTTAAAGCACCCATTACTCTCATTAAATGTAAAAGTTTTATCTGAAAGACAATTATTGACCAATTAAAATGGTAACCTATTTTGGACCAAAATCAATCTAATGATAGAAAAAAATTAGAAATCATTCAGTAAGTACTTATTTGGTGTTATTGAATGCAAAATATATAGCAAACAAGAAATTCATTTCATAATGGCCTCATCCCTGAGTGTGTGCCATATATAGTACACTGATCAGAACTTGTCACAATGTAATGTGATGGGTGTGTTCCAGGTATCTTATACTAACATTATACATGCTCAAAAACTATTTAGAAAATGTTTATTATCATATTGTTACATCAGCTGCTTTTCAAAACATAAGAAATTTAAATGAGTTATTTTGTATGAATGTCATAAAAACAGTTTCAACCTTTATTTAAGCACAAGTGCACATACCATTTTATGCATATCTTAGTTTATTTCTTATTACAGCCTGCTAGTTTATATCTCTGGCAATCACCAGGCATAGGCCTATGTGCAAATGTAACTTTTTTCACATCATGTATTGAAGTTGGTGCAGATGGACCTTTTCTTTTCTGAAATTTCCCTCTAAATATTTTGTAATTTTGACTAAGTTTGTTCTCTTTTTATGTGGGTGTGCACAACATTCTTTCTTTAATCAAAAACTCTACAGTTCCTGCCTTGAAACCTAGTGAATCAATGTGTTTTGATTTTGGCACTTCAAGATGCTGCATATCTAGTTGATACAATAACCAATAATTGGTAATGACCATATCTAGGAAATGAAAGAATAGTCTTTGGTAAAACTTCTAGTGTCTAATGTATTTCTCCCTGAGCTAGTACACTTAGAACACAATTGACAAGATGAATTATTCTTATCTACTTTGTTAGTACAATCAATAATAAGTTCATTTTAAAAATCATCACTATACATTATACAATCACTCAGTCTAGATCTAACTATCAAACTACATTTTGTACGCGTATTTAAACTTCGACTGAGAATTCTACACATTACTAGATATTATGATATTCAGTTAAAACAACGAGAAAAACTCAGAAAGTTCTAATAACAGGATGCTATAATATATTAATTACCAATTCAGAACTAGTGAACTACACAACATATGATTTGTAAACAGTTGCAAACTTGCAATAAAATATCACTTCTAAAAAGAACTAAATTTAACACTTATATAATATATAATTATCTAAATTATAATTCTCGAATTAAACTTAAATGAAGACAGTCGTGTATATTTAATAATAGGCCTTTCTTCAAGAAAAATATTTACAATAGTTTTATACTATATACAAAGACTGTTTTCAGTTCATGCACAAAGTCTACTTGTACGGTCTGCACCAACATTTGCAGTCCCCTTGATGGCTTCAATGTGGAACTGGTAGTTCTGAAAGTACAACACTCACCTCATGATCTTCACACTATCGATTTTGCATTTCTGGATGTATGCAAGGGGCTGCTGGTCTGTCTAGATGATGAACTCCTTCCTATAGAGGTAGTTCTGGAAATTCTAGAGGGCAAGTATGATGGTCAGACACTCTCATTCATTCACAAAGTAGTTCTCACTCTTCACCAACTTTTTACTGACGTACATTACAGGAAACAGTTTGTCTACATATTCTTCCAGCAGTGCTACTCCAATTCCAATGTCTGAAGCATTAGCCTGAACAGTTTGTTGAAGTCTGGCATTTTAAGGAATGGCAAACTTCCTAACATGTTCTTGAACTTCTGGAATGCCATGTGCTGTGGGTGTTCCCACTTTACCTTTTTGGGTTGGCCCTTCTTGGTCAGGTCAGTTAGTGTCCCCAACATAGCCTTCACCTATAGGCATGTTGTGGTTTGTTGGCACCACTCAATGTTTGTCACATACTCAAATCAATTGTGTACTGTTTAATCATGGTGATAGCACTTCCTTCTTGTGGTGAATCTGGCAGCAACATTAATGGTGAGAGTCACTCTTTTCTTGTCTCTTGCTAGCACCATTTCTGTAGGTAGGTTCATCTGCTTTATGTTGAGATTTCTGCTTGTTAGTGACAGAATTGTACTCACTCACAATGTGGCCTATTTCATAACAAGCATAGCATCTCTTTGGACTTGCCAGTTATACTCCCTCCACAAGCTTCCATACACTGTTCTGCCAAATTGATCATCTTGTCCACTTATTTTGGTGCAGTCTCTTTTAGGAACAGTGATACGTTAGTGGATCACGTTATAATGAACTGTTCACGTATTAGTTGATCTACCAGTCCTTCAAACTATCTTCACACTTGACCACGTCAGTCCACCTTGTGAAGTATCGCCATAGACGTGCCACAAACAGAAATACAGTTTCTCCAATGCCAGGTTTGACTTCTATGAACTTCTGGCAAAAACATTCCTTAGTATGTTCATAGCATTTCAGCAAGGTCACTTTTAACTTGTCATAGTCCATGGTATCTTCTGACAACATGCCAGCATACACTTGTAGGCCTTTGTGAGAAGGTGGCTGAGATAGCCTGCCCAGTTGTCTTTGTCCCAGTTCTGATTTTGGGTGGATCTTTCATACCTCTCCAGGAAAGCATCCATGTTGTCTTTCTGTTCATCAAATTTGGGCATCTTGTGTCAGCTGTCCCTGACACCATTTTCATTCTTTAGTCCTCCATCTCTCTGTTGGATGACTATGGTAATCTCAGTTTGTGTTATTATTCTCTCTATTTACAGTCTCTCCTCTTTCTCATTTTCTTATATCTCTATTTGTATTTCATGCTTACATTATTATTTCTTCCTCTCTTATCTGCCTATTCTCTTCTCTCTCTAAGTCTTGTTGTTATTTAAGAAACTCTCATAGATCACCATCTTTAAACCCAAGTCGCTGCCCCTCTCTATCCACTTACCAAAGTCAGTCAACATGGTTATATTGTGTGGTTGTGACCTCTACAATATTTTCGCCACCACTAAAACTGTGCATATATTGGCTTATTTGTCGGTTACTTACATCTACTTCTACTGCCGTTTATCATTGTAGATCCTGGTTGGCTCGCCACTATCAGGTTTTAATGTACAAGGAAGATTCTTTACAGTAGGTGTCTGTCACTTGTTGATGATAAATTTCAACAATAAACAGCACACAGTCCACTTTTTAAAAATTATTATATTAAAACAATTCAAATGCAGATGTTCGTTATACTGTTGGTTATCACAGTTGTATCCAGAGCTTTAACTAATTTTCTTTTTTGTCAAAGTACACACAGGCTGATTCAGTTACTTTAAAAACAATTTTACAAAATGAATTATTCTTCCTGCTCTGTTATACAGTACAGTCTGTGATGATTTCACTTTAAAAATCACCACTAATATAACTGTTGTTTATCACAGTTGTATCCAGAGCTTTAAATAATTGTCTCTATTTCTTCAAAGTCTACACAGGCTAGTTGAATTACTTTAGGAAAAACCCCTTGATAAGATGAATTGTTCTTCTCTACTTTGTTATTAAAATACAACCTGTGATAATTTCACTTTAAAAATTGCCACTATTCGCTTTTTATGACTAAACTCCCAATTACTCAATCTATGTCTAACTATCAAACTATGTTTTTAACACGTATTTATACCCTAACAGAGGTCTAGAATTCCACACATTACTAGATATTATGATGCAATAGTACTCAATTAATACAACGAGAAAAACTCAGAAGGTTCTAGTAACATGACATGATAACATAACAATCACCAATTCAGAACTACTGTACTACACAAGGTATAATTCGTAAATAGTTACATAAACAAACTTGCGATAAACCATTACTTCAAAATTACTAAATTATAACTCTTGCATTAAACTTGGAAACACATGTGTATATCTAACATGTTTTACATACAGCACTGAATCTTGTTTTCATGCTACCATATGGGAATATTCTTTCAACTGTTCTGTATTAATAACCAAAATTCAGCAAATTCCTTTGATTGCTGTTTGGTCTTCTCAGTTTTTGCATAAGTCCATACAGCTTTAAAAATATACAAATCAGGACTTTGTATATGTTAAACTATGGTTGTGAATATTCCATCAGCTATTTTACCATCAACTTATCTTTTCCCAAAATTTGCAGAAAGTAAAATCCATATAACATTGCTATATAGTTGCTCTTAGCTGTACTATTATGAAAGTAAGATGTTTGTGTATGGATTCTCATTGTCAGAAGCTAATGATTGATTTCCACCCAATGAGTCATGTTTCTAAAGGCTTTGCA